AGTGTTAAAAATGGAATTTTAAAAACAACAACATAAACACAACTATTATTTCCATAAAAAAGCTACATTAAGAATATATAACACGAGTTATATAAAACGTGCTCAAGTTTTTATTTCGGGTTATTGATCCTCCTCTTTGACTATAGCTATTCCAAGGGGACCAGAAACAAAATCTGAAGCCAGATACTGGTTCAGCGACCCTTAAAACCTACTCCTCTGCCTCCATCATTCCTGTGTGATATTGTGGAATCATTTAGCCCTTTCTTGGTATCGATATGTAGATAACAATGTGTCACTGTGCCACAAAATACGGCTTTGTGAATAATATAGTACAGATGATGTTTACGCTCGTTTCAGAGTATCAAACAAACTACAAAAGTCCACAGCTAAACTTTTACAATCTGTCAAAAAAAGAGGAAGAATTAGAACAACAAAAATACACTTAATCAATATATCCTTCCATGGTTTTCATAATGCTTAGAATAATTAATAACACTTATTCTGTTACTTTCGAAATTGATCTCAGTACTTAAGATATACGAAAAAAAGTGTCCAAAACAACACCTATTTTATGCGTTATGCATATTTTCCATAGTGATTAGATTGTTATAGATTTCGTGCAAAGCTACACGAGGGCTATCCGCGCTAGCCATCCCTAAGTTAGCAGTGTAAGACTAGAGGGAAGGCAGCTAGTCATCACCACCCACCGCCAACTCTTGGGCTACTCTTTTACCGTCACATTATAACGCCCCCACGGCTGAAAGGGCGAGCATGATTGGTGTGACGGGGATTCGAACCAGCGACCCGCAGATTGCGAGTCGAGCGCCTTAATCAATTATTAGTTCATTGAGCATGTTTTTTAAAAATAATATTTTATACTAGTGAATTACGAATTTATTGCTGTATCTTCTAGAAACACATATGAGCTTCGACGTATCAACAACGAATTAATCACATGAGCTGTAGATCTAAGGTTTCATGCTTCGCATCTGATTAACAACGACAACAACAAAAAAAAATTGCGCTCCGCACTTTGGGGCAATGAATGCGTTATAAAAGTGACGATCAAACCCCAATATAAGGAGTAGCCCAAAAGCTGGCGGTGGATGGGGTTGGCTTGTTACCTTCCCTCTAGTCTAGCACTTCAAACTTACGAACGGCTAGTGTAAATACCGCTTGTGCAGCTTACCTCGAAATTCAACAAAGAAATTATACATTTTCAAATCTATGGCGGCCTCTACTGGTCACCTTCGTAACTAGACATAGCGACTGCTTACATGATGTTCCCACAAATCTTCTATTTAATCCCACCTAAGGAGAATCGGGTTTTGATAAAATAACTTTTTTATGGAATTTTCCGCGTAAAACCTTGATAAATTAAGCGAAAGGCCTTTGTACTCGCTTAGTTATAACTAAACTACATATTGAAATATTAACTAATAGACATGAAGAAATGACAGAAATGGCTATAAAGTTACAAAAAGAAAGTGATCATGAAAAACACACAAATAACACATTTCATCGTACTTGATAATTTTAGATAAATCAAAGATCATTCTTCACGAAAGTGCAGCAATGATAGATTCTCCCTCGACTTTGTTGGTAAGACTCAACATAGACATTTTTATAATCATAAAATGACACTAATGAGCATCATCTCTAATGTTGTGCTACCAGAAGGACTATACCGATACTTTAAACATGACTTCAAGACATAGCACGTACTTTACATGTGACAAATGTTTGAGAAAGCATTATACAAAGTTGCATTAGGATTTTTAAAGTCTTGAAGGTGACATAACAGAATAAACGAGTAATCCAACTTTGCAATGAATACTTGTCAAAAGAAAAATAACGCTGTATGAAGTAACCGAGAACGCGAGGAGGGTGTAATTATGAAATAACTTAAACTAAGTTCTTGAAGAGGCAGCCTGGAACATTTGAGATTCTCATGAAACTGTCAAAAGAACAAATGGGGTGTTATTAAGACAGTCGAGTTTCTAGTGAAACCGCCAGAGGACAGAAGGGTTTTATTAGGGCAGTAGAGTTTCTCGTGAATCCGCCAAAGAAAGAAGTGGAGTGTTGTTAGGACAGTCGAGTTTCTCGTGAAACCCCCAACGAAAGAAGTGGAGTGTTGTTAGGACAGTCGAGTTTCTCGTGAAACCGCCAAAGGAAAAAGTGG